CCCCAAAACCCCAAAACCCCAAAACCCCGCGAGGGAAAATTTGGAGAATGAAGAATTTATTAAGTAAGGATCAATTTGAATTTAACTTATTAAACAAGTAAGTAGGTTAAGTTAATAAGTACTTTTAATTGTCAATAAATATGAATAATACCTGAATCTAAAATATTATCTTAAGTCAATATTAATCCATAAATTTAATCATTCTCCATGGTATTATTTACTTTTTCAATTACTTAAATTAAAGGGTTACTTTTATCACTCACTAATCAATGAGAAGTAGAAACAGACTTTTGATTTTCTTTCACATTATTAAAATTTTGAGCTTAAGCTTGCTCTTTTAAAGCCTTCCTGGTGTTAATCTTGGATTTTTGTTTATTTTCAAGTTTGTTTGATAAAGATTAGCTTTGTGATTATACTGACTATTCTGATGCTAAATTTTGGGATTGGGTATCTAGGAAACCATTTTGTATTGAAGTCCCATTTGAATTTGGTGCTTTCTATGGTCCAAATAGAGCGAATTGCAATTCTCTACTAATATTAGAGTCGTTTCTGTGCATGACCATAAAAATCCCGCCAGTAATAACTAATACCAAGAGTAAAACAGCTGTGTAAATCATGAATAATTTTGATCTGTCAAGAGTATTTAGAAATTCAGAATTATCATTTAGATTTGTGGGGTTGGAGTTAGTATTAATGAGTTTTTTATTTTCATCAATGTGAACTTAAGGTTCATTTTTATTAATTTGTAATTAAAGGCCTCTAAATTAGCTGTGAATGTCATCACTATTATTTGGTCTATTGTGGGAAATATTTTCCTAGCTCTTAAATAGCTTATTTTTTCTTAGCTTACGCTATTGCTTTCTGAGTTTTTAGGCAAGCAATAGCTATTTATGAGTTCTTGGCTGAACTGAGGATCCTGTATCAGTTGATCCAGAGACGAAGGAATTCATGCTATAAGCTTGATTGTCTACATCACTTTGCAATAAGTGAGATAATTTGCTTTCTTTTCTAGGACGTTCCTTGCTCTCATCTTCTGACTAACTGTCGAACTTCTAACTGTTCAACAAAATACTGCTTTCGTCATCATAGTCGTCATCATCTGAAAGCAAGTCATCTTAGTTATTTTCATTGAAATTTGAAACAAAAGATCGACTGTATTGAATAGAAGGAACATTTTACTTTATTTCCTCGTACAAAAACTTATCCATCTTCAATTCAATAATATTTTTTATTTAAATAATTTTCTCCCATCGAGAAATAAAGTATTTATGGGGTTTTGGGGTTTTGGGGTTTTGGGG